CCCCGAGGAGTGGATCGGATTGGGCCTCTGCGGATGGGGATCCCTTGGCGGGCCCCAGACATGGAGGGGTCCCAAAGTGTGCGCCAGGTGGTCTGGTCGGCCATGGAGCTCTGCGCACAGACGCCACGGCTTCTCAACCTGCGGGGCGCCGCAGCGTCTAAGCGCCGAATGCTTTCGCCGAACTCCTTGGCCCCCTGGCCGCACAAACGACCCGGGACAGACGAAAGGGGGGTCGGATATCCAAGGGGTGTTTGGCGAATCAGCTCACGCAGCTGGTTTTGTCCCGACGCCTCCTGGCTTGGAGTACCATGTGGGATCTGCTCTAGAACCAGAACGTACCGTAGACCGTAGACGGATCTACCCTTTCCCCAACCTAGGAATTAGACGAGCGCAACGGCCGCATGGAGAAAACATTGGATAAACATGCTTTGGCAAGAAGATGACCATAAGCGCGCTCGCGCGGCATATGTGGGCACACACCATAAGCAAGCATGGGTGCTGAGGCCGACATGGTGGACACATGGTCGACCTTCCTCGATATTGGCGCCTCTGGCGCCAGGAACCCTGGCGCTGAAGGCGCCAATGTTTTTTGGGGGAAGGAGACAGAGATGGGAGCGGGCCGCGATAATATGCACAACTCGCCTCGCCAAGCGTGCCTGCAATTTTCATGCTCGTCGCAAGGCTGTCCTACGAACGTGGCCGAAGTTCGGCCAGTCAAGGAGGACGGCATCGGGCCTCGCCACGATAACGCTGGAGGCGCCAACGTCGAGGAAAGCGCGGCGGGGCCGAGGCCAGCTGCACGCAGCAGATGTCGTCCGGCCTGGGCGTCGGGCCCCTCCAAAGACCACCGCCAGCCGCGGGCCGCCGCAGGCCCGTCCTCGTCCCGCAGCGCGCGCGGCCGGGCCGCTCGATCCTGCCGCGCCCCCGGGGGGGAGAGCATGGGAGGAGGGATGAGAGGAGGAGGGGGGGACGAGGAGGAGGAGAGAGGAGGAGAGAGGAGGAGAGAGGAGGAGAGAGGAGGAGAGAGGAGGAGAGAGGAGGAGAGAGGAGGAGGGGCAGGAGGAGGAGAACAGAGGAGGAGGAAGAGGAGGAGGAGGAGGAGTCAGGAGTCAGGAGTGCCAAGACGAAGTCCAGATATCTACCTCGCGACCCCCCGTGGGCCTTCTTACCGAGCTCGTCTTTACTGTAAGCCTTGGGGGACAAACTTTGCTCGATACGCTTGAGGTACTCAGCACGGGTGGGTGACACAACTTCGGGGCAGACTTTACCGAACCCTAAAAATTGCTTGCCCCCGTACATACCACAAGATGAGCAGAACCATACGTTGAGATCCTGGTGCAACCGCATTTTGTGGGAGGGGTGGTTTCACCCCCCAGCGATGTGTATGCTCGCCCCCTGGGGAAGCCCCCTGAGGGAGCCGTCAATAGACACTAAATTGAAACACTCTGTCGACCTCTAAGCACAATCCAGGGACACTGCAGCGGAACCTCGACAGAAGCGACAACGGCGACCAGAGTCATCCAAAATATGACGGGTACCAAACACAGAGAGGCTTTCTCTCGACGGCGGCGGCGGCACTACGGCGGACGGGGGGGCCGCGGGAACGGACGGGAGGGCGGATCCTTCTCCGACGCTCTCGCCAGCCACGGGCCCGACAAAGGCCCGAGCACCTCTCCGCCTATGCCAGCCACGCCCAAAAACAGAAGGATTGGTTTTACTCCGAAGTTGTTCCTCAGCTGCGAGCGCCATGCGAACCTGCCACTGAGGCCCTCGGTGGAGCTCCCCATGGGGCCACGATCCTCGCCAGGGGCGTGCCGAAATCGCCCGAGGCCACCATGTGAACCCTGCCCCACTGGGGCCTTCGTCCAGAGCTCCATTTGGGGTCACGATCCTCGCGAAGTCGCGAAGGGTGTGCTGAAATCAGCTGAAGCCGCCATGTGGAACCCTGCCCCACTGGGGCCTTCGTCCAGAGCTCCCCATGGGACCACGATCCTCGCGAGGGGAGTGCCGAAATGGGCGGAGGCCGCCATGCGAACCCTGCCGATGGGGCCTTCGTCCAGAGCTCCCCATGGGGCCACGATCCTCGCGAGGGGTATGGGGCCACGATCCTCGCGAGGGGCGTGCCGAAATGGTTGACACGCGGAGGGCAGAGGCAAGGATGGGAGGAGGGAGGAGGGGGAGGATGCGGGAGCGAGTGAGACGCAGGGCGGTGCCTGCTCAAAACGAGGACCCAACACCGCAGGATGGCTGGTGAAGAACGGAACGGAACGGAACGGAACGGCGTCGGACGTCTGGGCGGCTGCAAACCGCCGCCGCGGCAGAACAAATAGGTGAGCGGTGCGCACGTGCTCGCAGGCGGCTCGGCAGCCGGGCTCCGTCGCACGGGTGCCCCGGGAGCCCCCTCGGAGGGCCCACCTGGCCCGTATGGTATCTTCCCGAGTGGCACGGCAAGGGAGGGCACCTTACAGGGTGACGATCGAAAGTTGCACGTCCGAGGTGGGCCACCGCGGGCACTGCGCGCCATAGAGTGAAGGAGGTGGTGGTGGAAGAAAAGAAGGAGGAGGAGGAGGAGGAGGAGGAGGAGGAGGAGGAGAGGGAAAGCGGAAGGAGGAGGAGGAGGAGGAGGAGGAGGAGGAGGAGGAGGAGGAGGAGGAGGAGAGGGAAGGCGGGAGGAGGGGGAACGAGACGCGTGGCCTCCACATCGAGGTTTGACTCCCGGTCCGCGAGGAGAGGCAACGAGCTGTTCTATCGATCGAGGTGCCCGAACACCGCCCCCTTTGAGTGCATAGATGTCACGCAGCACATGCTGCCACCTTGCCGCGCTGCGTTGGCAATCGTTGCCCGCGGGCGTCGAGTACTCCCGAATGGTACACCGTTGAACGCCTACTCCAGATTCCGTAATAAAAGGGAGGGGGTCTGGACCCTCCAAGACAAGCCATTTCAGACCTCCCCCGTGGGAGAACCCTCCAAAACATCGTCCCCAGACCCCCCAGGCCCTCCAGGATAGCCTGGAAGAGACCCCCCCCCCGAAATGAGACCCCCCTCCCTTTTATTACGAAATCTAGAGTAGCATGTTCAATGATGGGATCGCCGTAGTCTTCAGGGCTGGTCAGGCTGAGTGCCCCCCCTTAGCCTCTGAGGAGTCGGCCTCCCCCCGTCGAGCGCATCATTTCTGCACGCACCGCCTCGCTGCTGTACTAACATGCTTGGCTCCCCACTGCAAACCCAAGACCTGCCGCCCGCAGAAGCAGAGGGTGGCGTGTAGCAGACGATCGCAGCAGGGAGGAGGAGCAGCAGCTGCAGGAGCAGCAGGAAGGACAAGGAGCATCACGAGGCCGAGGAGGACAGAGAAGCTGTCTGACGAAGACGAAGAATGAGGAGGGAGGAGAAGGAGAAGGGGAAGAGGAGGAGGAGGAGGACGACGACGACGACAACGACAACGAAGAAGAACAGGCAGAGCGACGGAAATTATGAGCAAGAGACATGACACGTCCTCTTCCCCTCTCCCCACATCCTCCTCCTCATCCCCGTCATCTTCCTGGTCCTTCTCCTCCTGCTCCTCCCTCCCTCATCGTCCTCCACAATTACTCAATATGACTACTACTCTCCCTCTTCCCCTGATGGCGTGCTGGGAGTAGCCGACCCCCCCCCCGCGTCGTGCTTTCTTACACAGAGGATTCCCGGGAATTGGGCTTTCGCCTGCATTCTTTTCCAAAATGCTGCTCTCGCTGAGGCGCCGGCCTCATTTTCGGGCCCCGCTCGTTCCGAATCGTGCTCCCGCTGCAGCGCTGGCCTCATTTCCGTGCTTCCGCTCGTTCGAATCGTGCTCCCGCTGCAGCGCTGGCCTCATTTCCGCGCTTCCGCCGTTTCGACTCGTGCTCCCGCTGCAGCGCTGGCGTCATTTTCCGTGCCATGCCACAGCACACGCGCACACACGCACACACACACACACACACACACACACACACACACCACCCACCCACCCCACCACCACCACCACACCACCAACACCAGAACACCGCCACCACCCACCACCAGCACCAGCACCAGCACCAGCACCAGCACCAGCACCAGCACCAGCACCACCACAACCCCGCACACACGCACGCACGCACGCACGCGCACCACCACCCACTTACGCACGCGCGCGCGGAGCCACAGGTCCGCTACGACACGCGTCCGCGGATAGAGAAAATCAGCGCCATGGTAAGGGATGGGAGGGAGGGGTAGGACGTCAGATATGACGCGAGCGCACCTAGCTTGCCCCTGCCCCCTCCCTCCCCGCTCCCCGCCTGGCGCGGCGACGCAAGCTTGCACGAAGCCGCCAACCGAGCACCAGGAGCAGGGCGAGGACACAGTGGACGAGCGCCCCCCCGCCACTCCCTAACCCCACCACCGCCAGCGCCACACAACGATCCCTCCCACCGTGCCGCTCGCGGGGCGGCCGCACGCGACCGCATGCCCAGGCGCGGCGGCGTCGGACCCACGCCAGAGCCCGGCTCTTCTCCAACACCCCCTCCTCCCCCTTCCTCCCCATCCTCCTTCGCTGCCCCCCCCTGGCCGCGGCGGGAGAAGACGCCCTCGACGCGAGAATCGCCTGGGTGACGGCATCCTGGCGCGGCCGCGCGGCCAGACGCGAAGCCGAAGACTGGGGGGAGGAGGAGGAGGAGGAGAAGGAGGAAGAGGAGGAGGAGGAGGACGAGGAGGAGGAGGGGGAGGAGGGGGAGGAGGAGGAGGAGGGGGAGGAGGAGGAGGAGGAGGAGGAGGAGGAGGAGGAGGACCAGAGTAAGCCCAATACCATGTTAAAAACGGCCCCTTTTCTCCATCCTTGAAGCTGTTGCACAATTGTACAACGAATGTGCGCGGCGCGAAGGCGAGAGTTTCGCTTTGAACACGACCCCTTCATCTCTGAAACTGTTGCACATGCCAAGGTCCATGACGATAAATGGCGAGGAACCCCTGGGCGAAACGCCCGGCCCACCCTACTGACACGCCTGGGGGGGGTGACAAGGAAAAGTTGCCTATGAGGAAAAGGACTGCAGGAGGAGGACGACGACGACGACATAGCAGGAGGAGGGGGAGGAGGACCAGAGTAACCCAGAGATCATCAACGATGCTGCAAAACACCCTCCCATCCCAAGTCACCTCTCTCCAAATCCCTACACGCCTTCCTGTCCACTTCAAGAGGCGCCCCCCGGCAGCCGATGGGCCTGCCATTCAGGAGCGAGCCCCGTTTATTCATAGATGTATGTATATACATATGTGTATAAACATATATATATACACATGAATGTATATAGACATACGTGCATATCGATATATATATGCTCATACCTATATATATATATATATATGTGCGTGTATATGGGTTGGCTTGTCCAGTTTAGGTTTGATTCAACAACGTGGTAGGTTTGATTCAACAAGGTGGTCAGGGGGAGGCTCCTGGGCACTGCGATGCATATGTTGAACACCCGTATTAACAGATTCCCCAGGCTCTGGGTTAGAGAGCTCCCACCTGCCTCTCGGAGTGCCTGGCGCACGTGAGAGCTGCATTCACGTGCATTCAACATGCATTCAGAATGCAGCGCTTCATACGACCTGGGCCTGGGAGCTGGGACTGGAGTGAACCGCCTAACACCGTAGAAGCTGAGATGAAACCAGGCTTCGGCAAGCTTCTTACGCCGACGGGCCGTGTCTCAAACGTGCATCAAAAACCAGGTCTGGAGTGGCAGAGCTAGCGTGCCTCCTCCCGTTGTGCGCAGCGAGAATGACATCAAGATAAGCAGCGCGATTTAAACAGGCAGACTGGTTATCAAAGTATCCTTGCGAAGGGCCCGACCCTATGCAATTGTAGGTACCGCATTGTGAATACAGCTTTCGGTGAAGCTCCCTAATGGGGCCACGAAACGCGCGCGGGGTCTGCCAGAATGGGGCGGGGCCGCCCTGAGAAGCGTGTGAGGGGTGTGCCGAAATGGGGCGGGGCCGCCCTGCGAACCATGCCAATGGGGCCCTTTGCCAACAATGGGGCGGGGCCGGCATGCGAACCCTGCCACTGGAGCCTTCGACGTAGCTCCCATGGGGCCACGAAACGCGTGAGGGGTATGCCGACATGGGGCGGGGCCGCCCTGCGAACCCTGCCACTGAGGCCTCTGCGGGAGCTCCCTGTGGGGCCAAGAAACGTGTGAGCGATGTGCCGAAATGGGGCGGGGCCGCCCTGCGAACCCTGCCACTTGGGCCTTCGTGTGCCCCCTGTGGTGACACGAACCGTGTGAGGGCCGTGCCGAAGCTGATGGCAGTGGTGATGATGATGATGATGATGATGATGATGATGATGATGATGATGATGATGATGATGATGATGATGATGATAATGGTGGTGATGATGGTGATGATGATAGTGATGACGACGATCACGACGGCAATAGTGATGATGGTGGCATTGACGATGATGGTCCTTATGATGATGGCGATGACGATGACGACGATGATGATGATGCTGATGCTGATGCTGATGCTGATGCTGATGATGATGATGATGATGATGATGATGACGACGGCGATGGTGGTGGCGATGATGGTTATGTTGACGATGATGATGATGATGATGATGATGATGATGATGATGATGACGATGATGATGGTGATGATGATGGAGGTGATGAAGGTGATGGTGATGATGAGGATGGTGATGTTGATGATGACGATGGGAGGAGGGGAGGAGAACCCAACACCACAGCCGATGATGATGATGTTGACGACAACGATGGTGATGATGGCAAAGATGGTGATGATAACGATGATGGTAATGACGATGTTGATGATGATGCAAATGATGATGATGAGGAGGAGGAGGATTTTGTTGATGATGTTGATGATGTTATCCAGGGAGGAGAGGGATGAGGAGGAAGAGGAAAAGGAGGAGGGAGGAACGCGGGGCAATGTCTCTTCAAAACGAGGGCCCAACACTACAGGACGGTTGGGGAAAAAACATGGGGAACCAATGGAAACCCTCGAAACCGTGATTAACGCGAACTTGAGTTGGCAACGATTTTCTCGCAAGTCGTTCACCCGAAGACAGCAAGAGTAGCGGCGGAGACAATCGAGGTCGGTACTGCTGATCTGCGGCAACACATCCTGCTGCTCTAGGATGAAGTCGGGTCGAACTCTAAACGAAGCAAGCGAGCAGGCGCAACGGGGCAACGCCAATATACATCCCTTCGGGCGCGGTCAACTGCAGGAAGAAAGGAATGGACCCGTAGGAGCAGAGTATCCAGAATAGGCTTCAAGGGAAGATGAAGACGAAGATATTGACGCCGCTCGACCCGAAAGGAACGCGTATCTGAGGATATGCCCGAATTGGATCCCGAGAGCCAGCTCCGCTGACGCCGCGTGCGCCCCAAGAGCGAAGACCTACGACAACCCGCGAGGCCGCGGAACGGGATATGCCCGACATCCCCCCTGGCAAGGTCTAATTCGCACATCAGAGGCAGAGGGAGTTCGGCACGTGAAGCGAAGTTCCCCACTCCCCAGCGAATCCCCCTCCTCTTCCTCCTCTTTACATCCTCCTCCTCCTCATCATCATCCTCCTCCTCCTGCTCCTCCTCCTCCTCCTCCTCCTCCTCCTCCTCCTCCTCCTCCTCCTCCTTCTCCTCCTAATTAGTTACTCCTCCTCCGATTCGCATCAAGTGACGGATCCAAGTCGCCCGAGAACAGCCAGGGTTTCAGGACGTATCCGAGGGAAGCGGCTTTCGCAACAGCGTGCATATAAGTGAGAGAGCGTGACCCAACGCCGCTTTACTGTGGAACATTCCCCCCCCTCTTCCTCCGGAACCCAGAGGTCCCCCCCCACCCCTCCGAAAATCCCCCCCCCTGCTGGAACCCCTCCCCCCTTCCCCCGGCAAACCCCCGAAAACCACCCCCCCCTCCCCTAACCCCTTCCCCCCCCCTCTGGAAAACCGGGGGGGATCACTACCAGTTCGAACCCTCCCCGCCCCCCCTCTCCGGAAAACAGAGGGGGGCCACTACCAGCTCGAACCCCTCCCCCCCCCAGAAAACCAGAGAGGGGTCACTACCAGTTCGAACCCCACCCCCCCTCCAGAAAACGGAGGGGGATCACTACCGGTTCGAGCCCCCCACCCCCCTCGAAAACGGGGGGGGGGGGGTTCACTACCGGTTCGAACCCCCCCCCCACCCTCCTCGAAAACCGGGGGGGTCACTACCCGACCGAACCCCCCTCCCCCCCTCGAAAACCGAGGGGGGTCACTACCGGTTCGAACCCCCCCCCCCCCACGTTCACCGCTAGCAAAAAACTCTAGGTCCCTACCACCGTCCGCACCACATCCCCCACTGCTGTCCCCAGCACCACTGTCCTCGCCACCACTGTCCCAATGTTCCCACCACCGTCACCACTGTCCTCACCAGTGCCCCCATCACTGTCGCACTGTCCCCACTGTCCCCACCACTGTTCCCACCACGGTTCCACTCCCCACTTTCTCCACGGCCCCAACCACTGTCCCACTGTCCCCACTGTCCCAGTGTCCCACTGTCCCCGCCGCTGTCCCACTGAGCTGTCCCACTGTTCCCACCACTGTCCCCCCACTGTCCCCACCACTGTCCCTACTGCACCTCAGTCCCATTATCCCACCGCCGTCCTCGCCACCGCCCTCACTGCCACCACCACTGTACCCTCCACTGTCCCACTGTTTCCACCACATTCCCACTGTCCCCACACCACTGTCCCCACCACCACCGTCCCCACCACTGTCCCACTGTCCCCACTGTTCCCACCATTGTCCCCGCTGTCCCCACCAGTGCCCCCACCAGTGTCTCACTGTCCCCACTCTCCCCGCCACTGTCCCACCACAATCCCACTCTCCCCACTTTCCCCACGGTCCCCACCACTGTCCCACTGTCCCCACTGTTCCCACCACTGTCGCACTGTCCCCGCCGCTGTCCCACTGTGCTGTCCCACCGTCCCCACTGTCCCCATCACTGTCCCACTGTCCCCACTGTCCCCACCACTTTCCCCACTGTACTACTGTCCCACCACTGTCCTCGCCACCGGCCTCACCACTGTCCCCACCACTACCGTCCCCACCACCGTCCCACTGTCCCCACCTCTGTCCCGCTGTCCCCTCACCACCGTCCCCACCACCACCGTCCCCACCACTGTCCGCACCACTGTCCCACTGTCCCCGCACCACTGTCCCCACCACCACCGTTCCCACCACTGTCCCAAAACCCCCACCATTCTCCAACTGTCCAGAGGAGCAGGCATCGTTTGCCGGCGGCGAGGGGGGGGGGGAGGGGGGGGGTTCGAACCGGTAGTGACCCCCCCCGGTTTTCGAGGGGGGGGGGGGTTCGAACCAGTAGTGACCCCCCTCGGTTTTGGAGGGGGGTGGGGGGTTCGAACCGGTAGTGACAACCCCCCTTTTTCATGATGGACTGGGGGGGGGGTTCGAACCAGTAGTGACCCCCCCCGGTTTTCGAGGGGGGGGTGGGGGGGGACGGGTTAAGAACCCCCAGTGATCCCCCCCAGTTTTCCGTCAGCGGCGGTAGAACACGCTCTTTCATATAAGTGAATTCCATGCCGGGACCAATCGAGCAAAGCTCAGTGGCAACACGGCAGGAGAACGCACCTCGGGGGCCTGCGGGAAGCAACATTGACGCTTTCTGGTACACTTCCATGAGCTGATCACCAGGCGAATAAAGCTGATGGCGAAACAACAGCTTAGATAATCTACAGCTTGTAGCGATACCGCCGAAACGATACCGCCGATAGACGGGAAGAGCTGCCGGCCCTGAAATCGAGGTCATGACGGAGCCTGAGCGAAAGAGGGAAGCTGGGCTTGAGAGGCTCAGCACACTACCATGTGCCACCTGGACCCGTGAAATTGTAAGGAACACTTGTGGCAACAGTGGGAGACTCGAAGGGGAAGATCACATTCTTGCTCAAATCAAAAGCACGAACGACTATGTGAGCTTGCTCCTGCAGGTGGGGCAAAGTGCGACTTACATGCTATACCAACTGATTTCAAGGCCGCTACCAACATAGTGCGGGGAAATGCTAAACTAACGAGACTGTTAACATCATGATGCTGGCGCTCATCACTTGGTTGTCCTCCCACCATGCGGCGAGATTGTCCTGTGGGGGCAGCAGCAGGCAAGTCAGGAGGAGTCGGGCACGAAGTCATCTCGGCAATCTGTCGCTAGGAGATCTTCTGGACCTGAGTCAAATCAGCCAAATTCTGCCCAAGCACCTGGCATTTGTTATAAATCCTAGGGTGGCCAACGTCTGTCATCTAAGTCGATGTGAGTCTGATGTCATCGAACTCCATGTCCTGTTCGTGAAGAGCCACGTCGAGCTGGTTCTGAAGCTGGCTGCGTCGCTGCTGGATATCGCGATTCCCAAACACCATCTGATTCGAGAGCTCGCTGCACCTGGAGATACTCCAGTGGACAGAGGTCCTGTGGTCGAACACGTCTTGGCTACTTTGCACCAGCATCTAGGACCTACTGGTGAGGCTGCATGTGATGTTCTCGAGGTGGTCAGAGATGGACTCCGTCTGGTAGATGTGCTCATGCGAGCCTGGGCTCAGACTCGGAAATCTGCGGGTGAGTGACGAAGTGGAAGACGAGTCACGATGGGCAGCGCCTCTCCGTTCGGACCGACGTGATTTCCTCATGGCGAGACTAGAGAGGTCAGGAAAAGAACTGGTTGTGCGCACCTCGCGCAGCGGCCAGGAATAACCAGCAGCAGGGGGCAGAGAGCCCCTAAAACTACAGGGATCGTGCGAAACAATATGAGCCTCCCCGACGGCAATGAGCAAGCTGAAGCCGCCGAGGCACGGATTTGACCTTGAATCAAAATTGTTACGGGCAAGCGAGAGGCCCGTTTTGAAAACGAGCCGACTTGCATCCGTCTCGCGACCGTAGCGGATACGTAAGGGCACGATCATACAATTCAGCGAGGTGTCCAGAGACGTTCCCGTTCTGAAAGAGGGCCACCCCCATCTGCGTAGCTGTCGGACAAGTCTGCACTGATGCCCATGAACGCTACGTCTCAAACGAGCCCCGGTTGGAAAATGAAACGCCCTCCACCTGTGCAGGCGCATCGCATGCTCAAGCTTATGGCCATTGAGTTGGAACAGATCCTAGTACAGCTGCTACATCGTAACAAGCGCCAGGCACAACCCCACTCTGCAAGGAACTGCCCTCCCTCCCCGGCCGTAAGTCTTCACAAGAAGTGCGCGCAGCGCTGAGGCGAGACCCCCATTTGTCAAAGGAACCGCCCTCAATGGTTGAAGCTGTTGCAACTTTCCAGTCGCATGTGCGCGGCGTTCGGGCGAGCGCCCCATGTTGGCAACGCCCCTGGGCGCCACCTCTCAGGAGGATAGAAATTCGAGGATCGAAGAAGGAAGAGGAGGAGGAGGGAGGAGGCGGAGGGGCGGAAGAAGAGGAACTCGAGGAAACGGAGGAAGCGGAGGAGGCGAAGGAGGAAGGAGGGAGGAGGGAGGCGGAGAAGAAGGCAGAGTAGGAGGAGGATGTGGGAGGAGGAGGAGGAGGAGGAGGAGGAGGAGGAGGAGGAGGAGGAGGAGGAGGAGGAGGGAGGAGAGGGAGGAGAAGGAGGAGGAGGAGGAGGAGGAGGAGGAGGAGGGAGGTGGTGGAGAGAGGACGACGAGGAAGAAAAAGGAGGAGGAGGAGGAGGAAAGACGAGGAGGGAGGAGGGAGAGGACCCCCTCATTTCGTGGCGACACGTCCTGGCGCGCCCACTCGCCAGGCTGCTGCCCCCCCGCGCCCGCGCCGCCGCCCAGCAGCTGCTGCGTCCTCGCCTCGGGGCCCGCGCGCCAACCGCCCCCCCCCCCCTTCCTACAGATAATACCAAAGCACTGTTACTACGATACACAAGTTCACAAGCTACTGCACAACTGTTAACACATGACTGTGCCAATAGAGTACTACGATGTTGATACTCAGGTACTCGGGTGAGAAAATATTGGGGTACCACTACACCAGGACTACACGTCTTCCAATGCAGGCAGTACTAGAGCACTACGATTACTTCAAGTTCCACGACTGCTGGTTTTGCTGTTGCCGCTACGACCACTGCTGTTACAAGACTGCTACAGTACTGCTACAATAGTATGGTCAGAACTCCACATTGCTACTACAATGCTGCGGTCACACTGCTACACTACCAACACTGCTACAACACAAGAGTAGTATAAAAGGTATACACGACTACCACTACTACCACTCCAACTACTACTGCGATCACCACTCCTACTACTGTTACAGCTGCTACTGCTGCTGCTGCTACTACGAATAGTAGTATCACTACTAATACTACTACTACGACTACTACCACTACTACTAATACTACTTCCACAACTACTACTACTACTACTACTACTACTACTACTACTACTACTACTACTACTACTACTACTACTACTACTACTACTACTACTACTACTTTACTACTACTACTACTACTACTTCTACTACTACTACTACTACTACTACTACTACTACTACTACTACTACTACTACTACTACTACTA